TTATTATTATTATTATTATCATTTTTATTATGTATTATTATTGTTATTATTCTTGTTATTTATGATAAAAGAGATCATGTTTTGAGGCACCAGGGGCCATAATTTGGTTTTACCAGAGACGAAATCAGTCGTAAATCAAAATGTCCCATTTATGTGTAACTGAGAGGCATCACCGTCTTTGCGAAAAAAAAAACCCAAACAAAAACAACCGGATCTTGCAGAAAACAATTTAGAATGCCAGTAAATAAAAAATAGATTGAAAAAAAATACAAACACACATAAACATTTTTGTTTTATGTCTTGCTGAATCATTAGCTCTCTGTGTTTTATGAATTATAAATAGAACGCCTGGGGAAATGTTGAAGCAATATTTTGTTGCAGGATGCAGAGAGCAGACACTCAGGATGGACAATGTAAAAATCTGATTTGACTGGAAAATCACTTTAAAAAGAAAACAGAGTCTGGTTCTTTTATGCTCACAATAATAAGGCGAAATAACTTAAGGATAGCTCTGTCAGTACCATGCTCACTATAACATGAAAGAACTTTAGGATAGCTCAGTCAGTTTTTTCTTCTTTTTTCCTTTTTTTTGTTTTTTGTTTTTTTTGTTTTTTGGGTGTGTGCTGTTCCTTAAGTGTGTTACGGCGCTCGGAACTGCATAAGGTCATAATAATTATAGCGCGCGGGACACGTTTAACATTTTCAGTTTTTAGAAAATTTTGAATTTTGACCGGGTGGCGGCCGAGGCCTACTCTTACCTATTTTGGACTACCAAGGGACTTCCACATGGGACTCAGCCAGTTTAATGCTCACAGTGATATAGAGGGACTTTAGGATAGCTCAGATAATTTCATGTTCACAATGATATAAAGGAACCTTAGGATAGCTCAGTCAGCGTCATGCAGAACAAATGAGACAAGGAAGAAGTTCTATCAACAGGTTCAAAAGGAACGATAGAAAGACTGCTTGCAATACTCTAAATTGTCTGCATTTTTTCTCTGCTTCTGTCTGTCATATTCTCCCACTTCCTCTTTCTCTCTCTCCATCCTTCACTTGCCTTTCTCTCTCTCTCTCTCTCTCTCTCTCTCTCTCTCT